GAAACTTTCGTACAAGAGCTTCCTTCTCAAAAATAGTTAATTTATGGCTATTGGCGCGTGTTTCTAATCGTAAATTAATCCCGTATAGCCGATCTTAAAGTATACTTCTAGGTACACCGAAAACCTCTGCAGCTTTAGATTAAGATAAAATTTTTTTACTTTTATAAGCAGATATAGCCATCTGCATTCGGCTTTCTTGTGAAAGTAACATTTTATATAATAATAATAAAGAAATGACGCGTTGGATGATATTTGATGGTGGTGTAGAGGAAAACCTGCCGGCTCGGCCGTAGTGCCGGCTCGGCCGTGGATTACGTTAGTTGTGTACACACGTTAGCTAAGTTAACTATGTACGTCCCTGATTAGATAAGCAATGGTCTATCTAATAACACTAACCTAACTAGTCGACTAAAGTACATACATTGCAACACGGTTAACGCGTAAGAAGACGCGTTAAGCTCCGAAGCCGCGGACTTGCAAAAGCTTTCGTTAAACTTTGCGCTCGAAGTGTTCCTGAAGCAGCGAGACGTTAATACTATGCGGGGCAGGTAACAGCTAATGGCAGCATGGTATTCTGGTTTTCAATACTTGTTTAAACCTGTCTCGAATGCTTTTTACGAAAACCTATCGCTTCATTTGCCACCACTTCCTTCGCCGCTAATCCATCACTCCATTTCGCCTATCTCGTTGAATTTTATATCTTCTTGGAGTATCACGCAATAGAGCACCTGTTTGAAGCCTATGTGGCTTACAAAACACCCGAGCAGTAAATGATGCCTCTATCTTCTCAGCCGTCATCTTCTCCAAATTTGAAGCGAAAACAACCGACCATCTCAAGCTTTTTCACAAAGAAGCCACAACTCTCGCAGGAAAGCCCTTCGAATGATGTGCGTGGAAAGGAGGAACGAGATCAAGAAGGGGAAGAGGTTACAAAACAGGAAGAAGGCTTAAGAGAGAAGAATAGTAATTGGTCAAACAACGTTGATGATGACGAGGATGATGTAGTAGCTCCGGCGCCAAAGCGGGCCAGAACAAACGGTTCAAATTCGCAAAATACGACCGAAACGCCGAAAGAAACACATGTTGAGCGCCCTTTGCCATCGGACAGTAGCCAAAAACCGGAGCTCTCCAAGTTCGCCAGCTCGCCCGCTACGGAGGGAGAAACGAAAGAACGAACCAAGGAAAGAGAGAAGCTACATCAGAAGTTTGTGCGGAGGTTAGGTGGACCAGACTGCCTCATTGGAATTGGCAGAAATGCCGCCACCGAAGCTGTTTTCGAGGAGGCTGGCGAGGGTGATGAGGATGATGAACCCTCTCCGCCGCCAGCAGCTAAAGGGAAGGCCACGGCAAAGAAAGGCGGGCGCAAGCTTACTCCTATGGAGAAGCAGGTCATCGATATCAAGCGGGAACATATGGATACGGTTTTGGTAGTGGAGGTGGGATACAAATTCCGGTTCTTTGGCGAAGATGCTAGAACGGCTGCGAAGGAGCTGAATATTGTCTGTATTCCTGGAAAATTCAGGTTCGATGAACGTAAGTGCCGGTTTCAATTTACGTCCTACTTCGTTTCTGCTTGCCTTTACTCATAGTGTTATAGATCCTTCGGAGGCCCATCTTGACCGGTTTGCATCGGCAAGTATACCGGTGCATAGATTACATGTTCATGTCAAGCGTCTCGTTTCGGCAGGACACAAAGTCGGAGTCGTCCGACAAATTGAGACTGCTGCCCTTAAAGCTGCTGGTGATAATCGCAATGCGCCCTTTGGACGCAAACTCACTAATCTGTACACAAAGGGTACGTATATTGATGATATGGAAGGCCTGGAAGGATCTACAGCATCTCTGTCAGCCGCTGGTACTTCAATGGCAACGGGGTATATGCTTTGTATTACAGAGACAAACGCCAAGGGCTGGGGAAATGACGAAAAGGTGCATGTGGGGATTGTCGCTGTTCAGCCAGCAACAGGTGACATAGTGTATGACGAGTTTGAAGACGGGTTCATGAGGAGCGAAATCGAAACCAGACTCCTTCATCTGGCACCTTGTGAGGTTCTTATAGTTGGTGACTTATCAAAGGCCACGGAAAAGCTTGTTCAACATCTTTCTGGTAACAAGACTAATGCTTTTGGTGACGAGATTCGTGTTGAGAAGGCCCCTAAAGCAAAAACAGCGGCAGCCGAGTCACATAGCCATGTTTCGAGCTTTTACGCGGAGAGGCTGAAGAAGGCGAACGCCACAAATGATGCGCAGGCGAGCAGCCTACTTCAGAAGGTGCTCAATTTAAGCGAGCAGGTCACTATCTGCTTGTCTTCCATGATTAAACATATGTCAGAGTACGGCTTGGAGCACGTTTTCCAGCTTACAAAGTATTTTCAACACTTTTCCTCTCGGTCACACATGCTTCTCAACGCAAATACTTTGAACAGTCTCGAAATCTACCATAACCAGACGGATCACTCCACCAAAGGTAGTCTCTTCTGGACGTTGGATCGAACGCAGACTCGTTTTGGGCAAAGAATGCTACGTAAATGGGTGGGACGTCCTTTGCTAGATAAATCTAGCCTCGAAGAAAGAGTGGATGCTGTTGAGGAGTTGAAAAGTTCAGAAAGGGTCGCTCTCGTAGAACGGATGAAGGGTCTGCTTGGTAGAATCAAGACTGATCTGGAAAAGTCCTTAATCAGGGTCTACTACGGAAAGGTAACCCATCATGAACCAAATCCGTGATAAATGATGCTAAATAACTCACAGTGCACCCGGCCCGAGCTTCTTACTCTCCTCCAAACCTTACAGATGATTGCGCAGGAATTTGCTGGCGTCCAGTCTCCTGCTGATATTGGATTTTCGTCGCCGCTCATTCGCAAAGCAGTAGCATCTCTTCCAATAATCCTAGAAGATGTTGTGCGCTTCCTGGATAAAATAAACATGCATGCAGCGAAGAATGATGACAAATATGAGTTCTTCAGAGAATCGGAGGAGACAGATGAGATTACTGAACACAAGCTTGGAATTGGCGCCGTGGAGCACGACATTGAAGAGCATCGCTCCACAGCTGGCGAAATTCTTGGGAAAAAGAAAGTAGAATATGTCACAGTGGCAGGCATTGAATACTTGATTGCGGTTGAGAACAAGTCACCGTCCCTTAAAAAGGTGCCGGCATCATGGGTGAAAATATCTGGTACCAAAACAGTTTCAAGATTCCATACTCCAGAAGTTATCAGGCTTCTACGACAGCGGGATCAGCATAAGGAGGCTTTGGCGGCGGGTTGTGACAAGGCATACGCAACTTTCCTGGCTGAGATATCCGCCAGTTATCAATCTTTCCGTGATAGTGTACAGTCCCTTGCGACACTTGACTGTCTAATTTCTCTTGCGACTATCGCTAACCAACCTGGTTACGTGAAACCCGAATACACCGATCACACATGCATTCATGTTGATCAAGGGCGTCATCCCATGGTCGAACAACTTTTGTTGGACAGCTATGTCCCCAATGACATTGATTTGGATAGTGACAAAACTCGTGCTCTCCTTGTTACCGGTCCTAACATGGGCGGTAAGTCTAGTTATGTTCGGCAAGTGGCACTCATAGCCATTATGGGGCAGATTGGTTCCTACGTCCCTGCACAGTCCGCGAAGCTTGGTATGCTAGATGCTGTGTTTACCCGCATGGGAGCCTTTGACAACATGCTGGCTGGTGAATCCACATTTATGGTCGAGCTTTCTGAGACAGCAGATATACTAAAACAAGCGACACCTCGCTCACTTGTCATTCTGGATGAACTGGGCCGAGGCACGTCTACGCATGATGGTGTTGCAATTGCGCAAGCGGTCCTTGATTATATGATCCGGTCGATTCGAAGTCTCACGCTTTTCATTACTCACTATCAACACCTCTCCTCAATGGTGCACTCCTTCCCTGACCATGAACTTCGGAACGTGCACATGCGTTTCACCGAATCGGGGCCAACCGAAGAAGAAATTACTTTCCTCTACGAGGTGGGAGAGGGCGTAGCGCATCGCAGTTACGGGTTAAACGTGGCGCGTCTAGCAAATTTACCAGCACCTCTAATCGAGCTGGCTAAACAGAAGAGTGCCGAACTAGAACGAAAAATACACCGCCGGAGACTAGCTGGACTTGTGAGGACCGTTGGAGATATTTTAGCCGATTCTGCGAAAGCCGATGAGAGTTTAATCGAACGACTCATCAGCAGCGCAGAGCAGTTATAACTGGACACGATTGACCAAGTTAGGCCTATCATGATCATGTCGCGATGCCTGGCATTTTGAGGCAGTACATGTTAGCGTTGTTGTATAGACTACTGTATGTATCATAGCAAAATGTATTTTTTTTTTTTTTTAAAAAAAACAAAAAAACTCCTCGTTTCCACTGAAGCAGCAGGAGACCGGGGCAATCCTTCCATGAAGCAACGTTCAGGCTCGAGTACTAATAATGAAGGACGCTTGTTAAAATCCGGACTTATTAAATCTTCAATTATGATATGCGCGTCCTTTCTAATAAGCCGCTCTGTACTCTATAGTGAGCCCTACAAGTACGTACTATTGAGATGTCTCCGTACCGGGCCCAGAAAGCCACTTACGCACAAGCACGCAAAGAACGGTTTAGGCTAATTAGTCGTTCAATGGGGATCCATCAAATGCCGTCCTCCCTAAAACCCGTCAGGAACATTAGTCCACCAATCTACCAATCAGATTACTGCCTTCGGGAGCATGCTTACGCGATTGCCTGATTCGTAGGGCATCACCGGGAGTAGGTCCACACGGCCCTTTTGATACCTGAGGATATAGGCATCAAAACACCCCACTTCCGTCCTCATTCACCGATTCAGAGTCTGCGGTGCTCCGATTTCGTTCATTGCTCCGGACCAACTCGCTCCATCCCTGCGAAACACCCACTGAGTCATTTTACGCAGTGTAGAACTTCATATATTACCTTCACTGACTGATTTGTTCTCTATACTTACATATAATATACAATCTGCCCACTAGACTCCCTCCACCCCTCCCAATCCCTCCAACTACCCCGCGCGGTTGATCGTCGCTATGGATCTCGTTAACCAGTGAGTCAATTACTTCCATGCCACCATGCAGACCTCCAGACAGACAATAGCCTTCAAATGTGTCTTCCGCATACTAACAATCTCTGGCCAGCCTCGAAGGCAGACTCCTTTTCGCTGTTCCTAAAAGCAAGTAACCCACCATGACTCACCCCACTACTCTTTCGCAACTTGCCTGAGTAGCCATCCTACACCAAACTCATTAGGAGGAAACATGAACTCCAGCTAATACGCATATCTCTGAAAACAGAGGGTCGGCTCCAACAGGCAACCTTGGACCTGCTTTCCGGCGTTGACATCCAATTCCGTCGCGAGACCCGCCTCGATATCGCCCTTGTGAAGAACCTCCCCATCGCCCTCATCTTCCTCCCCGCCGCAGATATTCCCACCTTCGTCGGCGAAGGTCGCGTCGACCTCGGTATCACCGGTCGCGACCAGGTCGCTGAGCACGATGCGCAGCTGGCGCACGGCGAGACTTCCGGCGTGGAGGAGATCATGGACCTTGGTTTCGGAGGCTGCAAGCTGCAGGTGCAGGTTCCAGAGAAGGGTGACATCACCGAGGCCAAGCAATTAGTCGGCCGTAACGTGGTCACCAGCTTCACGGCCCTCACTGAGGCATTCTTTGCTAAGCTCGAGGGCATCGATGATAGCAGCAAGCTCTCCACCAAGGTCAAGTATGTTGGTGGCAGTGTTGAGGCTGCTTGCGCATTGGGTGTCGCCGACGGCATTGTCGACCTTGTTGGTATGTTTATGGCTTAACACCATTCTAATCGCTGGAAATGAGACTAATATATATCGCACAGAGTCCGGTGAAACTATGAAGGCTGCTGGCCTTAAGGCCATCGACACCGTTGTCGAGAGTACCTCTGTTCTCGTCAAGTCCCGGAACACCCAGAACCCTCTTGTCGAACTCATCACCTCTCGTATCCGTGGTGTCATCAGTATGTTGCCCTCTTCTTTGCAACTCTCATCCATCCTTGCCCCTGCATTTGCTAACATGCGTTTCTTCACTACAGCCGCCCAGAAGTACGTCCTGTGCCAGTACAACATTCCTCGCTCTGAACTCTCCACTGCCGCCAGCATCACACCGGGCAAGCGCGCCCCGACTGTGACCGCGCTCGAGGCAGACGGCTGGGTGGCCGTCAGCTCGATGGTCGAGAAGAAGAAGATCGCCACCGTGATGGACGAGTTGACCAAGGTCGGCGCGACGGACATCCTAGTCCTAAACATTGCCAACTCCCGAACGGGTTAGAGGGGGCTTTTCATTTTATCATGTCCTGTCATGCCTTGGTTTATTCTTTTTCGTTTCTTTTTGGCATAAAGGCGTGTTTCATATTTCACCATTTTGGTTCTTTTCAAAGGGGTTCTATCTATTTTTCTTTCTTTTGCTCAGATTTCGGGACAGTTGTATGAGATGAATATAGATTATGTGGTTACGGTTCCCAAAAAAGAAAAAAAAAGTAACAGATAGACTCAGGTTGTTTGTATATACAGGTTTCTATATAACAGTAAATATATACAGATATAGTACCGCAGCACTTTATGCAAGATATAGTTCTTTCGGATAATGTGAAGATGTAATGCAATTTTTGTCATTACTCGTATGATCATCATCGTGAGCATGATCCAAGGCAAATCTGTCAGAAATAAGCCTTGAGAAGAAATATTGGGCGAGGGGACAAAATGAGGATGGTTTTTCTTCTATAAGAGAGGGGAGAAAGGGTATCGCTTCAAAAGGGGGAGATAACTATAGAAGAGGAGAGAAGAGGTATCTTCAGGTTGATGATGGTGAATCGCTGATTCCTACATTTTCTCGTCTTCCGCGCACCAAAGCCCGAAGACATTGGCCGACGCCTTCCAGATCGCCCAATAACCCGACGTGACCACGATCGCTTCTCACCAGGCCATGTTTAATGATTCGATAACCTGGGGGCAGCATTGCTGCGGACGCGAGACAGACACCGTCCCCTGCGGCGAAGGCGAGGTCATCGTAGGCATCTTGATGTTTAATCTGTTCACGCGTCGAGATGCGCGCGCCATAGACGGTGGGAACTGATTTGCCGTATAGAACTGCGAAAGGCGGGTAGCTGTTGCTGGATTGATGAGAGGGGTTGAAAGCGAGTTCTTGCTTGAAGCGACGGACTTCGGCGAGTGTGCGTTCGAGATAGGTTATGGCTGCAGCTCGGGGGATGGTAACGGTAGTGGTGGCTTTGACATTGGCCGAGCCGCGGAGGTTGGACGTCGGGCCAACAACGCCCTCAATGCTCGGGGCTAGTTTCTCGGCTGGGTCGGTAATGGGATTTGGATTGCTGCGACCGGTCTGGTTCGGATCTTGGTGCTCCTCGTCGGGTGTATCCTCAGATGGCAAGCTATCCTTGCTACCCAGAACAGCGGAGAAGCGTTTCCCGATGTTACCTCCAAGACCGAAGCCTTTGTTTGTCATGGGTGGGAGGGCTTGGTTGATGACGGGCGAAAGCCGGTATTCGTCCCAGGCCTGGACGTTGAAGAAGTCCACACGATATTCTTCTTTGGTGCGCTTATCGATGAAACAGTGCCCATCTTCGGGAAGGAGGGCAAAGCTGGTCCGGAATGTGAAGTTCACCTGAGCCGTGAGCACACGAGAGCTGAGCAATACATCATCCCCATTGCGAAGAGGGCCTAGGATATTGACACAGTGTTGCGGGACACCGGCGTAGAGAACGCCAGCAAAGAGTTCCGGACGTTGGTTTACGGCGTGGCGGGTGATCAAGCCCCCGAGACTGTGCGCAACAACCCAAGCACCCCTCTTTTCGGAGGGGACACCGGGCGCATTACAGGGTAAGCCCTCCAGAAACTTGATCAGCTTTTTTGAGAGAAGATGTGGGCTCAAGCGCCAATCGTAACCATAGTCCCATACGCGGAGGTCACCTTTGACAGCATTCTCAGACTTTCGGAGGTGTTTCATCAGTCGACGACAAATGTCAACCGGCCCGACATGCGATAGAACTCCCGAGGGAATAATTGTTTCCTCCATGCGCTCCTCATCCTCCGGGTTCAGGCCGACTTCAAGGTCCACTTTGCGAAGATTTAGCCCAACTTTCATCGGAACCCACAGTTGACGCTGTGGTGGTTTAGCGGAACGTAAGACAGATCCTCGGTAGCCTCCCATGATAACAACATCGCCCGTTAACTCAGACATAGCTTCGTTTAATATGGGATGCCACGTATTGGAATTAGCTCGCGGTGGACGCGCTCCGAATTGAGGTGGCGCTTGTTCTCGAGGCGCGTCACTCGTAGGTGGCAGTTCATCGGCGTAGTTGTTGCCTTTCCGATTCGCAACATCTCCCAGGAACGGTTTGTAGCCCCAGTCACTCCGCAAGTCCTGTAAGTGCAAGCTAGGCATGCTAAGCAAGCGGCTGCTCGAGTCTTGTAGACTGTCCTTGATGGCCTTGAACCGGCTGTTGACTTGAGAGTGAATGTGCTCATACTGGGGCCGCTGATCGAGTGATGACGCAGTGGATGATGCTCTCAGATACAAGGATTGATCAGAAGATGATCTCCTAAGCATCAACGGCGCACCTGAAACAGTCGTGCTGGGCCGACGGGTAAACGAATGCTTGGCTGCCGTCGCGCCGTCGAGCGGTTTAAGATCGGAGATTGGCTCATCAACGAGCCCGTTGTTAGAGTCGGAATCGTTCCACGATCTGCGCCTTGGCTTTGCATAAGATTCTTCCTCTTGGCCAAGCGCCAACTTGGACGAGGAAGGTTTCAGGGTCTGACTGCGAGAGCGATTTTGCGAAGAGCGGAAAGGCAAAGAAGTCCGTTTAGTAAGATACCCTAAATCGGGCAGGAACTTCTTCATGGTATCGCCCGACCAAGCCCGAGGCCGCAGGGGCAAGCCGTTCTTCAAGATCGACCGGGTGAAACTGGTGCGACTGTTGGCACCATCTTTAGAGAAAGCTGTTCCGTTTTGGTATGCCTCAGTCTGGGGTGAAACTGACGGTTGGCTAGACTCCGGCTTTGAGGTCTGTGGTAGTTGTTCTGGTTCATCGGTGATCTCGGAAGTATAAAGACCGCTCGAGTCGTCGGTGTCTGGAATGGGGTCAAAATAACCCCCATTGTGTTCCATCGCGCGTGTCTTTTCCTCCGCCGGAGTCGAACGGGCCTTCATGCGACTTTGGGCTCGACTGATGCTGACACCGACCATTCCGTCCGCCTCGTCTTCTCGAGCGACATCCACACCGTTTACAACCGGCTCATCGCTGTCAGAGCTGGTATTTCCAGCAATTAAAGGTCTCTGGAGAGCCTGCGAGGGCTCCCCAGCGGCATTGACCGGATCATGGCTTGCAGGTGGAGCTGCGGGGACAGCCATATTCGAGGGCAATATGAGGGGGAATGACGAGGGAAAACTTCGGTTCACACATGCAGGGAAGGCGATGTTGCGAATTCAATGATATAAGACAAGATGTATATAAGGAAAGAAAAAGATCAACGAAAGGGAGAAATGTTCTAATAACAATGATAACAACAATAATTATAATAATAGTAAGAATGATTCCAACAGAAACAATCTGCAGGAGTAATTTAATCACATGTAAAATAAAAAAGGCGTTAATGGCAATAGTCGAACTGGAGTCGAACGAACTAATAACGAATAACGGGGCTAAAATGTTTGAGAGATGGAGCCCAAAAAGGAATGATGCTTTATCAGGTTTGGATATCGTTGGATATCGTATTCGTACTGCCGATACCAAGGAAACGGAACCTTTGTTAGCGGGTATTTGGTTCGTGGCTTCCGCGTGTAGTAATCGAAATACCGTTCCTTTTTCTGTATTTTTTTTTACTGTCTTTCTTTTTTTCCTCGGTCGTTCCTTGACTCAATGGATCATTGATTAGTTCTGTGGTTGCACCCAGTGGAGTAGTGTGTGTAATAAGAATTGGGAGAAGAGGGAAAAAAAAGGAATAATAAAAATAACAAGAGAGGAGAGGTCCCACTACAGTGATTGCACAGCCTCCGGCAAGTCCGGAAGAAGCTTCCTGTAAGAGAGTTCTCCGTAGATTATTAGTTTTTTTTTTTATTTTTTTCATAAAATTTTTTATTATCATTATTCATGCTTGCGATTTATTGAGCAATAGTTCGAAATCTTAAAAATCAAAACGGTTTGGCATGTGGGAGGATGGATCCACAAACCCATCGTTACCATGAGGGTGGAAATTGCTTGTCTGTCGGATGCTACGTGTTGTGCCCTATTAAACCGCAAGAAAAATGTGTTCATCATTACATCGAGTCCGAAAGGCTCTTGCAGTGATTGAAATTTGGTTCGTGAAGTCATCCTGCATGCACCTGATCGGATCGATCACATCAACTATGGTTCCCGCCACCCGTTTGATTGGTTCCATCTATCGGCGTAGATCTGGTTACTTATATTGAACTTCCGCTACTTCCGGGGAAAAACTTGTCCTAAGTATGCGAAGCTTGTAGAGTCTGTACATAGTACTATGAAACAAGGGATTATTTATTTATTTTTTTTTTTTTTTAATGTCCGTGCTCGTATCCGTATAAAACCATAATCATTGGTGTACTCCGTGTGGAATGGCTCTCAGGCTAAATTTAATACAGGAACTGCACTACCAATCTCATTTCCACCAATTATCAAAAACAACTTGGAAAATATAAGGACATATTCATAAAATACAAACTTATCGTAGCGTCGTAACCCATAATCGACCAGTGTGATCAGCTCAGTAAGCATTTCCTCGGCTGAAGTTTCCGGTGCGTATCTCCCGTTCACCTTGGCTGGCAATAGCATCGTTCTTTGCAACGCCCTCTTCGTGGCCAAAGGTCTTATCGACCGCCGCATTAAGACCGCCGCGGAGAGATTCTCCCATGCCCTATTCGAAAAATGTTAGTCGTAATCAAGCATAACCGGAAGTATCACTCACGTGAGCGCCAGCAAAAGCTCCCTTCACACCGGAACCAACATCTGCACCCTTCTGAGCAGACTTGGACCCAGGTGCGCTGCTAGATGACTCTGCCGGTCGGTACCCTACGCCGCTGGACGCGTACCCAGCTCCGGTAGATGGTCCAGTGGCATTGGTCCCATATTGAGAATCGGTGTTACCGGTGAACTGGGAGCCATGAGGCTGGCTGGTTGTCTTGGAAGACACGTCGCCAGTTTGCGCGTCCACGCGAGGGTCGAGCTTGTTCATAATCTTAGACTCATGGGGACCAGCATTGGAACCGCTGCTGAGCGTGGTGTCCTGCGTAGCATAAGGGTTTTCGTTACCCGTCTTCGTAGTGCCTGGGGCGTACTGAGCGCGGTTGTCGAGGTCACTGTCAACACGAGGATCCATCTTGTTGCCAATCTTAGAGCTGTGAGGACCAGTCGTGCTGGAAGTAGTGGCTCCAATACCGGCCATGTGGGAGGTGTTACGGTTGTGAGTGGTTTGTGGCGCATACTGAGCACGGTTGTCCACATCGCTGTCAACGCGAGGGTCAAGTTTGTTGCCCATGTCAGACTCATGGGGACCGGCGGTCCTTGAAGCAGGACCAGTGCGAGCATCGCTCGCCATTGTACCTGGTGCGTGGCGGGCCCGGTTATCCATATCGCTGTCAACTCGGGGATCAAGCTTGTTACCCATATCGGACTCGTGTGGACCGGCGGTTCTTTGAGTGTGTCCAGCACGAGTATTACTCGACACGGCCCCTGGCGCACGGTTGTCTACGTCACTGTCAATACGGGGGTCAAGCTTGTTACCCATGTCAGATTCATGGGGCCCAGCAGTTCTAGGGGCAGGCCCTGTACGGGCATCGCTGGCCGCGGTGCCTGGTGCGTGACGGGCACGGTTGTCCATATCGCTGTCGACACGAGGGTCAAGCTTATTACCAGTGTCCGAGGTGTGAGGACCCGCCGTCTTCTGAACAGATCCTGTACGGGTGTTGCTAGCGCCACCAGCTGCACCAACGCCGGCGTTGCTTGACTTCTTCTCCTTGCTCAGGTCACTATCCACACGAGGATCGAGCTTGTTGGCTATGTCGGACTTGTGTGGGCCAGCTGTGTGTGGAGCAGGTCCGGTACGAGGATCACTAGGGTCAACGCCCCCAACCTGAGTGCCAATCGGCTGAGAAGAGCTGGGGTGTTGAGTGGGATCCCCGAAAGAGGAGGAATAGTAAGGTGGCTGCGTGCTGCTCATGATGTATGATGTATGTTGTATGTAGTGTTGTAGATAATTGAACTTTCTTTTGGACTGTTTCTTGTGATATTCTTTGGTTTCAACAAAGGATTGTCTATGCTTAGAATGAATCTAAGCCCTACGAGACCCATCGCCCTCAGTTCTTTATATATTCGAGTTGTCGTCAACACCCCAGACTCTGCGACATCATACCTGATGTGGCTATGACGTCAGACGGTACCTCAGGGGCATTTCCAATTGTTCTTCACCATGGAAGATATGTAGATCTTCATCTCTCTGGGAATGGAAAATAACTGTGAATAGAACCGAGTTGCATCAATGGCTGGCATTTTGCATCAATTAACGTTTCAGTAAGGAACAATGACGATTTGTGTCGAAGCTGGAAAGCCAAAGAAAACGGAAACATGATGGCTTATCGCCGATAACGATTTGATAAGTACTGAGGCTCTTACATCATCTTGGCTTCATACCTATGTCGATGAGTCAGCAGTGCTCCTCGATTCGTTGATTTCCTAAGAGCTCTTCTGTATACCCATGGGCATGCCCGCAAAGAGTTTCCTATGAGCCAAGGGTGGCTTGACTCGTGTACTGGTAAAGAGTACATGGTTGATAATTAAGGTTTACTGGGTGTGGCCAGTTTGTCTCTCAAAATAGACAGCGAACTTTGGTGATTAGTGAACTTACCAATTCGGTTATGGATCTTGCAGCCGAGGTTCATTCGTCGCTTTGTTTCAGCGATCGCTGAACCTCTGTCAACGCTCACTCCTAGACAGAAGATATCGTCCCTTTGTATGTCTATCTGTTTCTCTTTATTCTCTTTTGTTCACTCTAGAAGTCCTGGGAAGTACCACTGAGTTCGACCAAAATGCCTATCACCAACCGACAAGCCATCTACGCCAATACGCCCTCCCCGGCAATCGATCCCTCCTTGTCGAACGGCACCTTCAAGATCTCAACCACGACTATCTCCGACAATGTCCCCGATGACAAAGTCCTTGTGCGCGTACACTACCTTTCGCTCGACCCGGCCATGCGGCAATGGCTCACAGCCAAGCGATCGTACATCGCCCCTGTCGAGCGCGGTAGCGTCATGCGCGGCCAGAGCATCGCTCAAGTGATCGGCGTCGGAAGCAACCTTAAAGCTCAATACAAAGCTGGAGACTGGGTGATTGCTTACTCTGGCTGGCAAGAGTATGCCCTGCTGGGACAAAAGGAGGCACAGAAGGTGGTCATTCCCCCGGGATGCAAGCCGACCGATGCAATGTCGGTGCTAGGCATGACTGGTCTGACGGCATACTTTGGCATGACGGAAGTTGGACAACCGAAGCCAGGGGACACTGTCGTCGTCTCAGGCGCTGCGGGTGCGACGGGCATGGTGGCCGGACAGATCGCTAAGATCAAGGGTGCAAAGAGAGTCGTTGGATTGGCAGGTAGCGCTGAGAAATGTGCTTTCCTGCGCAATGAGTTAGGGTTCGATGCTGCTATCAACTACAAGGACAAGGATTGGAAGAAGCAATTGAAGGATGCGACTCCGGAGTACATCGATGTCTTCTTTGATAACACCGGAGGTGAGATTCTTGATGCTTGTCTTGCTCGGGCTGCGCGCGACGCTCGGTTCGCCATCTGCGGTGCGATCAGTCAATATAACTCTGCCAAGCCGCAGGGTCCAGCTAGCTTTATGACTGTCATTGTAAGTTTCCCGTGCGCTTTACACATGATGAATAGCTGCTGATAACAGCCTTCTTAGTCGCAACGAGTGACCATGAAGGGTTTCATCGTCTTCGACTACGCTAAGAAATACCCGGTCGCACTGAAGGACTTGTCCGAGTGGCTGACGCAGGGTAAAATCAAGCGCAAGGAGCACATTGTTCCGGGTGGATTGGAGGCTGCGCCTCAGGGTTTGGTAGACCTGTATGGGGGTGTCAATACGGGCAAAATGATGGTCGAGGTGGCTCCTGTGAGCGAGGCTATTGGAGCCAAGGCCAAACTGTAGGCAGCTGGTCTGTCGCATGCATATACCTCCTGTCTAATAATAAGATCGCGGCATTGTAATATTGTCTTCGTGGACTACAATCACAAACATAAAATCAAAAAGTCATGGTTGAGAGTAGAAGAGAGCTCAAGCTCACTCAAGTAAACGAATGATCTGTATCTCATCCTAAGAATATTGAACAAGTCAGGGACCGAGATAAAGCACTAGATCCATGAACCATACACCCCCAGACCAAGGGCACGTATATATAAAATTTACAGGAATAGAACAACCATTACCTATTTTTAAACACAAACTATATCACAATGACCTACATAAGTCCAGAAGGACCTTAGCCCATCGTAAGAACACCAGAAATGGTCGGTAACTCATCCGACGCAGACTCGACGTCATACTGATGAGGCAATTTTTGCCTCACCACATCTCACAAACAACGACATGGATACCAACAACCAACATTTTACGCAATTGCATGCGCTGACTGCCCCCACCGATGTATAAAATGCTCTTCCTCCCCTACTCAGCTCGGCTTCAATTCCATCATGTACCGCCAGAACATCCTCTCACGCTTTCTTAAACCGAGCTGTCCGATCCGCTACAACCACAGATTAAGCTATAGCGCTCTTCAGAAACCCTTTCTAGTCTATTCTAGAGCTCAATTCTCTGCATCAGTGTCTAAATATTTTACCACTACGTCATACCGAAACGTCTCTGAGGCAATCAAAATGGAGGCCAAGGAAAGCAATGAGAACTTTAAGCTGGAGAACCTCTTCAATGTTAAGGGCAAAGGTACGTACTAAGTGCGCCATTGATCACGATACGTTCTAGATACTAATGAGAACCAGTTGCTCTCATCACAGGAGGGGGCTCAGGCATCGGTCTGATGGCCACTCAAGCTCTGGCTGTCAACGGAGCCAAAGTCTACATCACCGGTCGAACCGGCGAGAAGCTCGACCGCGTTGCAGAACTATACAGCAAGAACATCCAGGGCGAGATCATCCCAATCACATCAGACATTACAGATAAGAGCTCGGTCGACAAGCTGGTGCAAGAGATCTCCTCGCGCGAAAAGTACCTCTCCATCCTAATTAACAACGCCGGAATTAGCAGCTCGACCCAGACGACCGAGAAGGAGGATCCTAAGGAGCTGCGCAAGGAGTTGTTCGAGAGCAGTGCTCTTGACCCCCAGGAATGGGATGATGTGTACCGCACGAACGTCACTCAGCTTTTCATGACTACTACTGCGTTTTTACCATTGCTTCAGAAGGGCTCCGAGCAGGAGAAGGGCTGGTCTAGTACCGTGATTAATATTTCGTCGATTTCCGGTATCGTCAAGGTGTCGCAGCATCATTTCGCTTATAATGCGTCGAAGGCTGCTGCTATCCATTTGACTAAGATGCTGGCGCATGAGATCGCTTCGTCTGGTTTGCGGATTCGCGTTAATAACATCGCCCCGGGTGTTTTCCCCAGTGAGATGACAGCTGGTAAGAGCGACGAGAAGCAGAAGAGCGAACTCGCTAAGGAGAAGTATGAGGGTAAGGTTCCTGCTGCTCGCCCCGGTAAGGATGAGGACATGGCCAATGCCGTGCTCTTCTCTACCACCAACCAGTATCTCAATGGACAGACCGTTGTGGTAGATGGAGGATATGTGCTGGCGGCTGGAACCGTCTAGAACGTGTATGATTAGGTGACACATAACTTGTATTGTAGTTAATCTTAAAGCAGCCATGAGTGCATGTCAATGATAATCTCCAAATGATTGTTTCATCCAAGACAGATGTTATTAGTTGATCGTTTGTGGCATTTGGAGCCAGCCAAATACACATAGCAGTCAAGCACACTTACCACCCCATTTCTCCTGCATCACACACCTTTACATAGTACACCCACTCAGACCGAAGTACCTCGGATGCCTTGATTCTCCGAACAGGATCAGGATGCAACATTGCATATATCACATTGCGACAACGCGTCTAATCAATGATCAGCACAAAGAGACTTTCACCAAGTTCTTGAAAACCCGAACTGCATCATACCTCTTCCAAAGCTTCAATCGGAGGATATCCGTCATACGTTTGTCGTCCCCGAAGGTACGCACTATAACCCCCATCCTCATCCGCACAAGGCATCCTCCAAAGTAACCGTCCACATCTCATAGCCATGTACACAAGTCCTGCGGCCCATACATCGCTCGCTCTCGGATCAATCGCCGCATAGTCACTAAACTCCTCTGGCGGAAGGTAAGGTATCAATCCCGGCAATTTCCGTGGAGAGTACAATGAGGACAATTGCAGACGTATCCTGTTCTCAGCGTGTTCCCCATTGGCAAATTCATCTAGCAACCACTCCGCACTCCCAAAGTCGGCCACTTTCACTGCGCCATGGGCAGTAAGAAGGATATTTTCCGTCTTCAGACCTCGATGCGCAATTGCGTTGTCATGAAGATATGTCACGGCACGCATGATCTGCTTAAAGAAACAGTCTGCTTGGGTTATGTCTATATTGTCTTCGGCCGTGGCGATCAGGGTGTTCAGATTTCCGCCGGCACAATAATCCATGACTAGACAGGTCTCACCATGTTCGTTCTGGAGGACATCGATGGTTTGAAGAAGGTTGGGGTGTGACACGGCTGAGGAGAGAGACTGTTCGAAATGCTGGGTAGCTCTGACGAGAGTGTCCGATGATCGACGGAGGATTTTGACGACATGAAGCTGCCTGGAAGCACCCGCGGACGAAGATTTCCGGGTATATACTCGTACGGAGCTGTGGACGCCGTAGTGCAGGATGATGGTGGATAGACCGTATCTTTCTGTTAGTGTTGAAGGGGCAGAAGAAGAGGGAGTCAATAAAGTCTGCCTTTCTTCGTCGTCGATTGATTCTCTGGGTAACCAGCAGCGTGCCAGGACATTCGGAAATGTCAATGTAGACAGCAATTTAAGGCTTAATTTATGTTCGGGAGGTTTCAGTTTCAGTTGATGCCGATGAGTAGTACATGTACCGTAGGAATTTTGTAATTGAGACATTGTGAATTGTATGACTTTTGCAGCGATATAGTATGGCAGCAGAGAGCTTTTATATAGACAGATTAGTCGATGCACGATCCGATGTTTGAGCACTTATATATATATATATATA